AGCCTCCCATTCATATGTCTATCAAGATGTGCCTTAAATTGCTAATGTGCCTGCTTCCACCATTTCCACTGGCACTATGTTCCAGGCACCCACCACCGTTTTTGTGAAAAATTTTCCCCGTGCTTCTCCCCTAAACTTTCCGCCTCTCAGCTTGAACCTGTGCTGTCTTGTAGTCGACCTTTCCACTCTGGGGAAAAAGCCTCAACTATCCACTCTATCTATGCTTATCATAATTTTGTACACCTCTATCAGATCGCCCCTCAGTCTCCATCTTTCCAGTGAAAACAATCTGAGTTTATCTAACCTCTCCTCATACCTAAAACCCTTCAGACAAAGCAACATCCTGATAAACCTTCACTACGACCTCTTCAAAGCATCCACGTCCTTCTGGTAGTGTAGCGATCAAAATTGCATACAATATTCCAAACTAAACTAAGGTTTAGTATACAGCTGTAACATAACTTGCCAAGTTTATATTTAGTGCCTTGGCTGATGAAGGAAAGTGTGCTGCATACCTTCATGACCAACCTATCCGCCTGTGGCTACCACTTCCAGGGATCAGTGGACCTGTACCCCCAGATCCCTCTGTATATCAATGCTGCTAAGGGATTCTGCCACTTATTGCATAATTTGTACCTGAATTTGATCTTCCAAAATGCATCATCTTGCATTTGTCTATATTAAATTCATCTGCTATTTCTCTGCCCAAACCTCCAATCTATCTATATGCCACTGTATCCTTTGACAGCCCTTCTTACTATCTGCAACTCTGCCAATTTTGGTGTCATCTGCAAACTTAATAATCAGGTCACCTTCATTTTCCTCCAGATCATGTGTGTGTGTGTGTGTGTATATATATATTACAAACACAGGTCCCAGCACTGATCCCTGCAGAACACCACTAGTTACTGATCTCCATTCTGAAAAGCACCCTTCCACCACTACTCTGTCTTCTATGACCATGCCAGCTCTGTATCTATCTGTCCTGCATACCTGGATCCCATGAAACTGTACCTTTTGTACCAGCCTGCCATGAGGTGCTTTGATGCCTTACTAACATCCATGTAGACAACATCCACCACCCTTCCCTCATCAATCATTCTTGTCACCTCCTCAAAATATTCAATCAAGTTGGTGCAACATGACCTTCTCCACACAAACCCGTGCTGCCCATCATTAACAAATCCATTTGCTTCCAAATGTGAATAAATCCTGTCTCTCAGTATCTTCTCCAATAGCTTCCCCACCACTGACATCAGGCTTACTGACCTGTAATTACCTGAATTATCTCTGTTCCCCTTCTTCCACTATTATCCAGTCCTCTGGAACCTTGCCTGAGGCCAAAGACAATGCAAAGATAACAAGGTGCAGAGCTGGATGAACACAGCAGGCCAAGCAGCATCATAGGAGCAGAGAGGCTGACGTTTCGGGCCTAGACCCAATGCAAAGATGCCTGTTTAAGGCTCCAGTTATTTCCTTTCTTGCTTCCCACAGTATCCTGGGATAGATCCCATTTGCCCTGGGGATTTGTCTACCTTATTCATTTCAAGACAGCCAACACTTCCTCCTTCATTGTGTTGACCTGTCTGAGAATATTCACACATCTTTCCATAACCTCAACATTTCTCATGTCTCTCTCTGGTGAATACCAATGTAAAGCTCTCCTTAAGGATCTCGTCCATTTCCTCTGGCTTCACACAATCTCTCTCCTTTATACTTGAGTAGGCCTACTCTTTTCCTAGTTACCCTCTTGCTCCTAATATATGTATAAAATGCCTTGGGATTCTCCTTAACCCTGCTGGACCATTGGGAACTCTTCCGGGGTAGGTGTGACCTGTACAAGAAGGAAGGGTTGCATCTAAATTGGAAGGGCACAAATATTCTGGCTGGGAGGTTTGCTAGTGTCACTTGGGAGGATTTAAATTTTCTTAGAAGGGGGTGGGAACCAAAGCAAAGGTGAATTGACTGAAAGTGAACTAGAGAATAGGGCCAGTAAGACTCAGAGGAAGAGCAGGCAGAGTGTGGTTGCTGATCAAAGCGCGTCTGGTGAACTGCAGTGCATCTGTTTCAATGTGAGAAGTGTAACAGGTAAGGCAGATGAACTTAGAGCTTAGATTAGTACTTGGAACTATGATGTTATTGCTATTACAGAGACTCGTTTAAGGGAGGGACAGGATTGGCAGCTTAACGTTCCAGGATACAGATGTTTCAGTCAGGATAGAGGGAGATATAAAAGAGGTGGGGGAGTTGCACTACTTGTTAAGGAGAATATCACAGCTGTATTGTGGGAGAACACCTCAGATGGCTCTTACAGCGAGGCAATATGGGTAGAGCTCAGGAACAGGAAGGGTGCAGTCACAATGTTTGGGGTTTACTATAGGCCTCCCAACAGCCAGTGGGAGAAAGAAGAACAGATATGTAGGCAGATTTTGGCAAGATGTAAGAGTAACAAGATTGTTGCCGTAGTGATTTTAACTTCCCGTATATTGGCTGGAACTCACTTGGGGCACGGATGGGACAGCGTTTGTAAGGAGCATCCAGGAGGGCTTTTTGAAACAGAATGTTGATAGTCCAACTAGGAAAGGGGCTGTACTGGACCTAGTATTGGGGAATGAGCCTGGCCAGGTGGTCGAAGTCTCAGTAGGGGAGCAGCTCAGGAACAGTGATCATAATTCAGTAAACTTTAAGGTACTGATGGATAAAGATAACTGTTGATGCCAGGTGAAGGTCCTAAACTGGGGGAAGGCTAATTACAACAATATTAGACAGGAACTGAAGAATGTAAATTGGAAGCAGATGTTTGAGGGCAAGTCAACATCTGGTATGTGGGAGGCTTTCAAGTGTAAGTTACTGGGAACTCAGGACCAGCACGTTCCTGTAAGGATGAAGGATAAGTATGGCAGGTTTAGGGAACCTTGGATAACGAGAGATGTTGTTAGCCTAGTCAAAAAGAAAAAGCAAGCATTTGTCAAGGCTAGGAGGCTGGGAATACACGAAGCAAGCGTGGAATACAAGGAAGCCCTCCAAGTCTGCACCAACATGCTGCCCGTCACAACTAAAACCCCCTACCCATCTGGGAACCATATCCCTCTATTCCCATCCTATTCCTGTATTTGTCAAGACACCCTTTAAAAGTCATTATTGTATCTACTTCCACTACTTCCCCCGGCAGCAAGTTCCAGGCACCCACCACCCTCTGTGTAAAAAATCTTGCCTCGTACATCACCTTTAAAGCTTGCACCTTAAACCTATGCCCGCGAGTAACTGGCTCCTCCACTCTGTCCATGTCCTTCGTAATCTTGTAGACCTCCATCAGGTTGCTCCTCAACTTCTGTCGTTCCAGTGAGAACAACCCAAGTTTCTCCAACCTTTCCTCATAGCTAATGCCCTCCATTTATTTACCTGATGTTGCCTGGTATGGAGGGCATTAGCTATGAGGAGAGGTTGGAGAAACTTGGGTTGTTCTCACTGGAACGACAGAAGCTGAGGGGCGACCTGATAGACATCTACAAGATTACGAAGGACATGGACAGAGTGGAGGAGCCAGTTACTCGCGGGCATAGGTTTAAGGTGCAAGCTTTAAAGGTGATGTACGAGGCAAGATTTTTTACACAGAGGGTGGTGGGTGCCTGGAACTTGCTGCCGGGGGAAGTAGTGGAAGTAGATACAATAATGACTTTTAAAGGGTGTCTTGACAAATACAGGAATAGGATGGGAATAGAGGGATATGGTTCCCAGATGGGTAGGGGGTTTTAGTTGTGACGGGCAGCATGTTGGTGCAGACTTGGAGGGCCTAAGGGCCCGTTCCTGTGCTGTAATTTTCTTTGCTCTTGCATTGAAGCAAATGGATTCTAAGCCTCCAGTTCCACTGAGCTCAGCAACTTCTCCCTGACTGCTCTTCCTCTTAGCTATATTTGCTTTAGTCTCAAGCTCTTCCCCAATCTCTATACTTACCGACCAGCTGCTTCTGTTCCCAACCCCCACCGCACTAGTTTAAACCCTCCCCAGTGGCACTGTTAAACCTCCCTGCCTGCTTATTCATGCCCCTCCAGTTTAGGTGCAACCCATCCTTCCTGTACAGGTCCCAGTTTTCCTGGAAGACATCCCAATGATCCACATATCTAAAACCCTGACCCCTCCACCAGCTCTTTAGCCACATGTTCAATTGTACTATGTCTCTGTTCCTAGCCTCAGTAGCACATGGGAGAGGGAGGAATCCTAACATTACGATCGTAGAGGTCCTCCTATTTAGTTTACTACTTATCTCCATGAATTATCATTGCAGGACTGTCACTCTTCCTACCTATGTCATTTGTGCCAGTGTAGAGAATGAGTTCTCTGTTTACCCTCCCCTTTCAGGAGGCCTTGTACCCACTTTGAGACATCCATGACTCTAGCACTGGGGAAGCAACATACCTGAAGTGTCTCTTACATCCTCAGAAGTGCCTATCTGTGCTCATGATCCTCTAAATATTATTGCTCTAATATGCTATTATTATTGCTCCCCTCAGTACGGCAGGGCCACCTTTAGTGCCACTGCTCTGGTCACCTGATGGGCCATCCCTCTCATCAGTATCCGAAGCGGAATACTTGTGTGACAGGGCCACAGCTGCAGGGGATTCCTGCACTGACTGTCTGTCCCATCATCGGTTGCCCTTCTACCTTCCTGTACCTCGGGGTATGATTGCATTTCTGTAACTCCTACCTATGACGTTCTGTGCCATTTGTGTGCTCCTTAGTGTCTCCACTGCCTTGAAAGATGATCAGTAAAAAAACACAGGAATATTTTCAAGAGTAAGTGAACTGTAAGTTAAAATTCATAATGTTAATCAGACCTTAGAAAGGCTGTCAGTATTGCTGTAACAATGTGAATTAGCTAATGTTCTACAGCTCTCTTTCGGTTTGCAGTTCCTGCATTGTGATTTTATTATCAAAGATAAATTGACAAGTATCATTCAAATAATGATGCAGCATTCAGCATATTGCTTTGTGACTTACAGGATTGCATTAGTCTTGGCTCTGGAGAACCTGCTGCAAGTGAACATTGCTCTTTCGTGATGTACCACAACAACAGTCCACGCTGGGGCGAGATCGTGAAACTGCCCATCCCTGTTGACAAGTTTAGAGGCTCACACCTTCGATTTGAGTTCAGGCATTGTTCCAGTAAGTTACTCCTAAATCTTGACTTTCAAAATTGTTTAGAAGGTCATATTCCATGTGTTCTGCCAAGAATATGAAATTTACAGACTTTTGTATCAAACCACAAATTGTGTAAATTTTCCTTGAAAAGTGTCTCCAAAAGTCTTAAACTGCCACGCTGTCAACAGGTAGCTCACAGGCACAATCACTGACTCGTCTACTAACCTCAGCTTTATAACGGACATGAAGTGACTTTCCACAAAAAAAGGCAAAGTTAAAATTAAGTCATCCCTAACCGATCACTCTCATCTCCTTTTCACTGATTTAAGGGTGGTTTTAGACATGCTCAATGAAATAATTACCAACGAAATAATAAGAGCCAGTGACCTTAAGTGATGTATGAGCTGCGAGTGCCAGTTCAGATTAAAACAGAGAAAAAATTTGAAATGGAACATGCCAATGTGACCTTCCTATTTTGGAATTTTGTCATGCAGCAAAATATTTTCACAACTTGACTACAGGATTTTCTGTCTGTCACAGCATCGTGAATTGGGTTTAAGTGGTTCAATCTGTTATCATGTCCAGGAGTTTTTAGGGATTCAGGATAAAGATGAATTAAGTATTATGGGTACTGAATCTGTTCTTCATTGTTACAAAACTGCAAACTGCATATGGACAAAGATTTTGCATGTTTAATGGATTACTTTCCTTGAATTTACTGCTGTAAAAATCACATAGGACAAAGACTATTTGTTATTCTGTGTTTATTAAAATGTGATGGTGAAAAGGGTTTATGCTCTTGCTGTTGCAGTCATAAACCTCTGTACTTGCCCCAAAACATTGTCCAGAGCTCCTGTGATTCCGTTTGTAGCACTTTTTGTAGCACTTTTCATGATCGCAAGATATCTTAAAGCATTTACAGCAAAATGTAATCACAGTTGTAGTGTAAGAAATGAGACTGCCAATTTGCACATATCAACATCGCACAAATATCTATGCGATAGTCACCAGATCATCCATTTCTTAGTTGTTGGAAGAAGAAATGTTGGCCATGAGACAAGAAGTGCATCTCAGCTCTTTTTCGAATTAATGCAATGGGATCTTTTATATCCACGTTAGATGCAAATAGGCATCTTAGTTTAACATATCGTGTAAAAGATGAGATTCCAGACAGTACACAACTAGATGGTGTACCAGCTTGAATTATATGCTTAAGTCTTTGCAGTAGCAAGCAACTCAGCAATATCGATCAGAAGGTTCAGACTTTGGGATCCAAAGTCTGAACCTTCTGATCGATATTGCTAGGATCCAAAGTCTGTTAGATAAGCTGATTTTGATTCTGAAGCAGATCACTATCAAGGTTGACATGAAAGGAATGATCAAAGGAAATAAGAACATTTTCATACTTTTAACTGTCCTTAGACCTGTTCCTCCCAGTAGATTGGAATAGAGGACCACAGTCGCAGGAGTAGGCTGTTCAGCCCTTGAGCCTGCTCCACATTTCTAGATCATGGCTGATTATCTACCTCAATGTCATGCTCCTGCGTTATCCCTTATCTCTTGATGTCGTTAATAACTAGAAATCTGTTAATCTCTTAAACTTACTTGGTACCTGAACTTCCACCACCCTCTTAAATGAAGAGCTCCCTCCTCATCTCTATCCTAAATGGCTTTCGGTTATTATGAAATTGTATCCTCTGTTTCTAGTCACCACAACTTCCCATCTGCCCTGTCTATTTAAGTATTTTGAAAGTTTCTAATGAGGTCATCTCTCATTTTGGTAAACTTCAGATGATACAGACACAGTATCCTCAAGTTCTCCTCACTAGATAGAGGAATTAGTCTGGTGATCATCTGCTGTCCTTCTTCTGTGGCTAGAATATTCTTCCTGGGGCAAAGGAACCAGAACTGTATACAATTCTCCAGGTGCAGTCTCACCAGTGTGCTGTACAATTGAAGCAGCACTTCTTTGCTCATGTACTTAAATTTTTATTACGCATCCCTAGTTGTCCGTGGGAAGGTGGTGGTGAGATGCCTTCTTGAACCACTGTGGGGCATGTGGTGTATGTAGAACCATATGTCATTAGGGAGGGAATTCCAGGATTTTGGCCCAGCAACAGTGAAGGAATGGTGATAAATTTCCAAGTCAGGATGGTGAGTTGCTTAAAAGGGGACTTGCAGGTTGTGGTGTCCCATGTATCTGCTGCACTTGTCTTTCTAGGTGGAAGTGATTATGGGTATGGAACGTGCTGTATAAGCATCTTTGGTGAATTTCTTCAGTGCATCTTGTAGGCTAAATGCACTGCTCCTACTGAGGTCAGTGATGAAGGGAGCATATGCTTGTGAATGTGGTGCCAGTTAGTGGGATGCTTTGTCCAGGATGGTGTATTGTTGAGTATTGTTGGAGTTGCACCCATCCAGACAAGCTGGGAGTATTCCATCACACTCCTGACTTGGGCCTTGTAGTTGGTGGACAGGCTCTGGGGAGTTAGGAGGTGAGTTACTAGCTGCAGTATTCCGAGCCTCTGACCTGCTCTTATAGCTACTGTAGGCTAGTCTAGTTGATTTCTGGACAATGGTAACCCCCCCCAGATTATTGATAGTGGCGGATTCAATGATGGTAACACCATTGAATGACAAGGAGTGATGGTTAGATTGCCTGTTATTGGAGATTGTCATTGCCTGGCATTTGTGTGGCATGAATGATACTTGCCACGTGTCAGCCTAAGCCTGGATATCGTCCAGGTCTTGTGGCATTTGAACATGAACTATTTCAGTATCTGAGGAGACACAAATGTTGCTGTACATTGTGCAATCATCAGCAAACATCCCCACTTCTAACTTAATGATGGGCATTGATGAAGGAGCTGAAGATGGTTCGGCCTAGGATACTACCTAGAGGAACTCCTGCAGAGATGTCCTAGAACTTGGATGACGAACTTCTAACTACTACAACCATCTTCCTATGTGCCAGCTATGACTCAAACCAGCAGGGAGTTTGGCCTGGTTCTCATGGATTCCAGTTTTGCTCGGGCTCCTTGATGCATACTTGACCGAATGCAGCCTTGATGTCAAGGACTATCACTCAAACCTCACCTCTGGATTTCAGTTTTGTCCATGTTTGAAACAAAATTGTAATGAGGTCAGGAGCTGAGTGGCTCTGGCAACCCCAGACTGGGCAACAATGAGCAAGGTTGTTTCCAGGCAGGTGCTGCTTGTTAGCAATGCTGATGACACCTTCCATCATTTTTTTTACTTGTACATGGGATGTAGGGGTCACTGTCTAGGCCAACCCTTATTGCCGGAGTTAAGAATCAACCACATTGCTGTAGGTCTGGAGTCGCATGTAGGCCAGACCAGGTAAGGATGACAATTTTATTCCCTAAAAGGATATCAGTGAACCAAATGAGTTTTTCCAACAATTGGCAATGGTTTTATGGTCATCATTAGACTCATAATGCCAGATTTTTATTAATTCAGTCTTCACCATCTGCCATGGTGGGATTTGAACCCGACACTCTGAATTATTAGTCTAGTGATAATACAACTAGTCATAGAAATACACAGCATGGAAACGGACCCTTCAGTCCAACTCATCTATGCTGACCAGATATCCTAAATTAATCTAGTCCCATTTGCCAGCATTTGACCCATATCTCTCTAAACCTATGTATTCATATACCCATCCAGATGCCTTTTAAATGTTGCAATTGTACTAGCCTCCACCACCACCCTATGTGTGAAAAATGTTGGCCCTTAATTGGTTCTGCAATAACATGATTGTTGCCATTCTGTGCAACATCGCATTATGGAAAATTGTGTTGTAGAAATAACGAGGCCTATGGGAAAAGCAGGGTTAGGGGCAGACCACCACAAAATACCACTCAAAATTGCTCAAAAATCACTCAAAAGCCCAACACAAAGGTTAGCATAGTTTGAAAAAAATATGTTTAATTCATATGTAATAATGAAATAAAAGTAAACTGAACACCTTACCTTGAAAAAAAAAGTCAAGATGACTTGACGGGGGAGGAGGTTTGACGTTGCTCTGTTGTTATTGCAGAGGCTGAGGGTCGTCATTATCATCACCTTCAGGTGCAGCTGTGATTGCAGGGATAGGGCGAAAAATAGTTAATCCGGAAGTGGATGGCTGTGGTTCATTATCTTCTGACTGTTTCTTGGAGTTGGCTTAAAAAAAATACATCCAGTTTTTGCTGCTATAGGAGTGAGGCTGAAAAAGCACAGCAGGTCAGACAGTATCCAAGGAGCAGAAAAGTCAGCGTTCTCTTGTTGAAGGGTTTCGGCCCGAGACGTTGCCTTTCCTGTTCCTCGAATTCTGTCTGACCTTCTGTGCTTTTCCAGTCTCACACCTGTAGGCCAAAGGGAGTAGAAGTTTTGTTTGTTAAAGTTAATTGAATTTTTCTCATAAAGATAGTTGCAATTTTGCTTTGATATAGTCCAAATCTCATTGGATCAAAAAAGCCAATAAGAGATAATTGTTGGTCAGTTCTACATTTTAAGCAGATAAAATACCAACTGTATCATGGGGCTAAAGTTCAGTTTGGATTTAGTGATGGAAAGAGCAGCTGGAACATTTGCCTGGTTTGTAGCTAAAGGAAAATATCTAGTGTCCTCAAGCCTTGTGACAGAAAGCAGTTAGTAGAGTCAGCTTGGAAGGTGCAAGAATGCTGTTAGATGCATGTCGACAACCAGAACAAGGAACGGAGGCATCCATAGCTGTATAAGCATAAAAAAAAATTGAAGGGTCACTTAGCTAAAAAGCTGAAGGCAAGATCCCCAAAAAATTTGATTTCAGAGAACACTGAGAACAATTAAAGTAAATTTGGGAAAGGCTGTATAGAACTGAGTCCCTAAAGAAATTAATGAAGTTTCAAAATTGTTATGACTTATAATAATGGGGGGGTTGTAAAATGTAGAACTGATTGCATAACTAATATAAATTACAATATTAAGTTGACAGTGCTTGCTTTGCTTAATTCTCAAAGTTTGTTTTTCTTTTAAAA